TAGACCAATGTCTTACCTGACATAATTGCTTGAGATTCTATCATGGATTTTTTTCCCACTTGTAGTCATTCAATTTGGGCCCCACCACCTTCGTTCGATTGCACCTTTGAATTGGTCTTACAAATTTATTTGGCTAATTGTGGAGCTTATATTTTATGTCACTTTTTGGAACTCGGAGTTCCATCTCAAAAGGTTAACATATTATGTAAAATTGTATAGTAGTTGAGATACTCATTATTTGCCCAATGTTTAATCATATAAAAATTTATTCGCACTTTTTCGACATTGCTGTTTCATCACACATTTTATTTTTTTCTTCAAAAAAAAAAAAAAAAAGACTAGTCCTCTTATTTTCAAACAATAAAAAATAGGCAAAAAAAAAAAAGTTTAAATACATTAAACGTGTATAAACTTTGCTTATGTACCAAAACCATACAATAACTTTGTTTACAAATATTAGATATACAAAAATTTGTATCACATTCATACATGAATTAATTTTCGTAAGTAAACAATAATGGAATAATCCACGTGGCAAACAGAGTGTCTATTTGACAAACACTCGACAAATTAATTACGTAATGGTGCATGAACGTTACCATGTATCAGAATAATATATAAACTTTATTTCAAAATCATATGTGATCATCTTCATTCGCGAATTTGTATCACATCTAAACATGAAGGATTTTGCAACTTTGCTAGAAGAAATTTGACATATATAGTGACATAATTTGAGCGACAACAGATAATTTGATAGAAAAATTGTTGGTGTTTAAAACAATTCAATGATGAAATGACATGTGTTATTTCCGTTGTTAAGAAAATACAAATATGCATCCAGACAAAGTAAGAGAAATATATACGATGGTTCATAAGAGATGGACTAAGGCAAATCATTGTAGATCGAATTATTTCCGCACTCTAAGCAATTTGTCACACAAATTAGTTTGACAATTTTGATTGATAGAAGTTAATTTATTTATGAATGAGATAAAAAAAAATTGTTTATTTATGTATACATTAAGTATATATTACAGATGCAATTTGAGCCATAGACGGAATCATTGAGAATGAAATTTGAACTTTGCCATCTATTTATGAGACATTAATGTCACGTCAATCAAAAACAGTTCTACTTAGATATCACTTAAATTACAATCTATAAAATTCATTAGCCACTCAAATTAACAAAAACAACCTTGATTCCATTGGAGGTTGACAGTATTGATGTTCGACGCTCACCGACGTGAAAAAATCTTATCTACTAAAATATAATTAATCCACTCATTTTAACTATTAGAATGGTAGAAAATTGACTTTTTAGGTGATAAAATTAGGTGCATCACATCAAGATTTTTTAGTTGTAATCAAGATGCTGTAAGGTGCTTTTGAGCTTACTCAAACACGTTCAAGCAAGAAAGTTTTAATCAAAGTAAAAAAATGAATAACATATTGTTAAGGGATATATATTCCACATCGATAAATGATGTTGACACAAATCAATTAATAAAAATTTTGGACCACTCCTCTTACTAAGGTTGACCTTTTAAGATAGAATCTCAATCTTAATATGGTATCAGAGCCCATTATGTTTTAACGAGCGATTCGATTCCGTTAAAACTCTAAAATGAGTACGTGGATTTCAAGATTGATCTGCTCAAATGAGCCACCATCTTGTGGGGGCGTGTTAAGAGATATATATCTCATATCGATAAATGATGTAGACACAGATTAATTAATAAAGATATTGGACTACTCTTCTTAATAAAGTTGATATTTTAAGATGTACCCAAATTCTTAACACCTATTTAAACACATTTAAAAATAAAAACAATATTTTACTTTCAAGCTCGACCAAATTGTATGACTGAGCCTTTGTTTGATCAATTTTTTCAAAATATATTTTTCTGTCTTCTTTTCAATCATACATTTGTCAATAAAGTAATATTACACGCAACCCAAAATCATTTCCTTCATTTTTAGTCACACATTCTCCATCAATTTATTATTTTGAAATGCATTCTACAAAAAAAACAAAAAAAAAAAAGTGGCTCTAAGAGATCCTGAATGCAAATTTGTTTGCAAGCTGCGTCACCAAACAGACCTTAAAGAGCAGAATTGTGGGCCCATTCTGGATTTGAAAGACTAATCAATTCCATTTAATTCCTCAAAGATTAATTTTATTTTCAAAACAAAGAACACGTCAGCCACATGTCGATCCCGAGTATATCCAGTAACCAACAGACACGTGTACGGTAAAGCTTGACACAGGCGTAAATAAAGAATAATGGATTGCAAACAGGGACAGGGGCAGGAATAGGGACATATGCTGCGTTAGTAACACCTTTGTGGTTAATTTTTTTCTTAAAAACTTTTCAATGATTGAACAACGTGTCCTTCTATTTTTAATTTCTATCACTGAACATGTTTATGTAGCATGATTGGTATAAATAAAACATGAATTAAGCCCCTTTGCAAGAAAAAACTTACCCACCCGGTTGACCTACTCATAAAGAATTAAGCTCCTTTGCCAGATGAAATTTGCCCACCTGGTTGACCTACTCTCACATTCGAGTGGGACTCGTGCTGACCCCACATGAATAAAAAATGCAAAAAAAAGCCCCCCACCCACCCCTATTGTGTGTGTATGTCATCTAGGGTGTCAAAAAAATTCTGGCACCCTAACATTGTCCATAAAACATATCTATTACGTACTTTCATGTGCTAGCTCACCAATTGCCTCACCCACATTAAAATTTGAATAATACTATTTGCAGTCGCTCACATAGGACGACTGCTATAGTGAGCGACTGTAAATAGCATTACTCTTAAATTTTTTATTCTCATTATTCTACTCATTTTCAATTGCACATATTTTAATAAAATAATATTTTTAATCACATCAATAACTTTTCCTTCCTTTTCAACTACACATTCTCCTTCAATCTACTATTTCAAAATACATTCTTCTAAAATAATATGGCTCAAAGACACTCTTAATACATTATAATTAAAGAAAGACCCCAAATAGAACAGGTTGAGTTGAGATATGCTATCTCAATATCGTCTTATTCCTTGTTTCGTTCATTACAATTTTTATACTTCGATATAGTACATATTTTTAGCAATTAAAAAGACGTTCATGCATTCTTTAAAGTTCGAGACAATAAATCTTAACTCATGCATTATACTATATTGACATATATGAACAATATAAATCATGTCATACGTGCACTAGCGACAAGAAAAAAATTATATTTTCTTTTCCTTATCTTTGAATCGAGTCCGACTTGTCTCAAATTACTTTAGTAGTGATGTGTATCTTCACCAATTGAGTGCAAGAATACCTTTTATCAAATCTAACCGCGATTTGTTTTTGACTATGCTTAAAATTAAGTAAAAAAAATATATTAATTTCAATGTCTTTACGCCCCACCATGTGAAACCTTATTTATACGAACACGTGTTCATATGACTGGGATTGTTACCTCTCTCCCCTCTTCTCTTCTCCTCTCCTCTCTCTCTGATATCAGTCTGAAAACTGAGGAAAAAAAGCTCTGTTGTCCTCTGTTTTTCTCTGAGTGAGTGAAATGCAAGGAGCTTAGAAGTAAATGGTACTTTCTGAATTCTGAGACTTATAATTTTCCTTCGTAATAAGATTTTTGGGCTTCGAATTATTTGAGGTACGATGAACTTTAACTTGTTTCTGTTTCATGTATTTTTTTTGGTGAATTCTGAATTGTAGTTTAACTTTTCTGGGATTTTTCTTATTTGATTTGTGAATTTTTGAGCTATATTTCTTGTTGATTACTTTAAATCTTGATTTTACAGTAGAAGAATTTGATGATTCAACACGAATTTGGGTCGATTTAAGATTTCGTGTTTCGTTATTATGTTAGTTTAGTTTTGTAATTTTAGGGTCTAAAAAGGATTCTTCTGTCATTTCATGGTAAAAGTGGTTATGTATTAGTGTTACATTCTTTGGTGATGGGTTGGGATGATGAAAAGACAAGAGTACCCCCCCTGGCTCCTGTGTCCTCTTGATTAAGAAAATTAGGTAATTGAATTGCTTAGAATTTTTTTCCATTGAAATTATTTGTTTGATTGTCTTAGTTTTCAACCCTACAAAGTGTTGTATTTATCCATAAAGTTGACTTTTAAAAAGTATGAATTGACTAGAAAATAAAAATCTACCTCCCTAGAGAAAATGTTTTCCTTGTTTTTATGGAAAACATGGTCATGTGACCGTATTTGAAAAATATTTTTCATCATGAATGGTGGAAAAAATGACATTTTTCATGAAAAATAAAGCCAATCAAACGCAACCTAAATGCTGATCTTTAATTTATCGAGAACTAGACTTAATACCGATTGATGATCTTAATGTTTCTAATTGTTGTGTATTTAGAGTGACAATATTTGATTGTTTTCAATTATGAATCCCGGCTTTTGGGACGGGCCGGAAATAGATATAGCAGTTAAGATTGGGTTTGTGTCAAATTTTTAATATGAAGATGGTGTATTTTCCTTAGACTTGCAAGACTATCATAAGAAGAACAATCTTTGGTTGATGATTAAAAAACCCTATTGAAGAGCTAGACATATGATTTATCTCCGCTAAATCGTATGCACTTAGCAGTAACCTCGTAGATCAAAAATGTAGCTGAAATTTTGTTTATATGGTCTTGTTGGACTTTTAGCAGAATCAATTTTGAGTTGGTTTGAAGTGGCTATGTGAAGAATCTTTACATTTATGACGGGCATAGCTATTTCATATTCAGCCAGCGTCTTTCCCCATTTTCGCGTGTTTGCATAGTAGTTTGACACCTTCTGAGTATTTGATCTAAACTGAATTGACATTTTGTTTGTGCAGTTTTTCTATCTTGTGGAACTTTGCTATTTCCATCTCATTCGACTCTCCTTCAGTTGAAGATCAAAAGGTCGTTTTTGAGTTACCAATTGAATAAAGGACTGCAGTCTCTACTTTGTACATTACCATGGGAAATAGTGAAGACGGGAAGGATTCTAAGCCTGAGAAATCATCCCCGCCGGCAATGGTAGGCAAAAAAATATTTGCATAGTAATTTGAACGTCATTTACCAAAATATTATTTGTTGGTCATTGAACTCCAACTGAATCTCAAGTTCATTTCTGAGTTGGTGTAAAATGCTTGTGTCATTGACAGGACCAGCATAATATACATGTATTTCCTGATTGGGCCAAGATGCAGGTCATTCACTCTGTTTATATGCTTTCTTCCTATAGTAGAGAAGTGAGAATTTAATTATTGTTAATATTCAAGGGGATGTTGATGCTAATTATTGGCTAGTTTAATCTCCAGACTTACTATGGTCCTCGACTTGCTGTACCTCCATATCTAAACTCAGCCGTTACTTCTGGTCATGTCCCTCCCCCCTATATGTGGGGACCACCACAGGTATTGCCCAATCTGTTAAGGAAGCATCAGGGATAAATAGACTGCCAATTCTGAAATGTTTAATTATAGAAGCCGTTTTTTTCAGGCTATGATGCCACCTTATGGGCCTCCATATGCGGCATTCTATGCACATGGTGGCATTTATGCACATCCCGGAGTTCCTATCGTAAGTTTCACCTTTATTAAACTTCGATAAGCTCATTTGAATGAGATTTCATCAATGGTCGTGTTTGTGTAGGCTGGTACTCCTTTGAGCATGGATGCACAAGCAAAGTCGTCCGAGAATACAGATGGAAGCTTGGTGAAGAAGTTGAAAGAATTTAATGGGCTTGCTATGTCAATAGGCAATGCTGACTCTGATGTTGCTGAAGATGGATCCAACCCTAGATTGTCAAAGAGGTTTGTTGATATGTATTGACTCGGAAATCGCTTTAATGATTTACCAATCATCTGTCCTTTGAGTAGAAGAGATGTAATCCTCGTGGTTCCTGCTTATTTAGATTCCATTGACTGATTCTTGACTTTCTTGCTTATGAACAGTGGGAAAACTGAAGATTCTAGTGATGGAAGTAATGGGATTACTGCAGGGGTAAGGATTTCTTAATATATAGAAGGATCTGATAAATTTGTCTCAATTTTTCTCTGTGTTTGTGCCAGTTCAAAGATTTATAACTGTTCAATTTTTTCATATCATTATCTAGGTTGGTCCCAGAGGCAAGAAAAGAAGTCGGAAGGAAACTCCTATCAATGGTAAGCTTTCTTTCTTGTCTGAGAATCGTAATTAGAAAACTTTCACGCCAAATTATGATCATAACTTCCAACTCTTATTTGAAATTGTTTGTGAGCTTTTTGTGTGAACTTACCGAACAATTTTGGCTTGTCTGTCCAAATGATCGACCTTGCCATCAAGTTGGGTCAGTCGATGCTTGAGTGTTTCCTTAACAACAGCTGCTACAGACAACATTCCGCTACTATTGTCAAGCTTGGACATGGTACAACAAGAAGAGAATTAGCAGTAATCGAAAGGGAAAAACCCAAACCTCCGCTCTGATACCTCCTAAAGCGAAATAGGCGCGCGCCCGGGTAGAGAGCTTTTTGTGTGAACTTACCGAACAATTTTGGTGGTCCTTTAAAGGATTTCTTAGTTTATTAGTGTCTCTCTCGGCTAGATTTGATTTATTTATTTTATTCATATTAGTCCTGTTTTATATTACCAAGCTGATGGAGATGTTACTCATTAAGCATTCCACATGCTGAATCTTCGTCTCCTATTGTAGTCTTATGTTTTAACCTTCTTATAGCTGTAGACGGCAGTGCTCAAACACATAACAGTACTATGGATATGGTTGTGCCTGAAAAGTCTACGGAAAATGTCTCCACAGCTTTAGAACTCAAAGATCTGTCTTACACAAATGTGAAGTCCGTTCCAACTAAATTGCCTCAACCATCCAAGACAAATGAAGCCGGACTGCACGTAAGTTTTGAATATCCCTAATTATTTTGTACTTCTGTTTCCATTATGTGCCTGTTCATGTTTTCAATTTTCAACTATTTAAGATTTTTACCAAGCCAAAGTCGGAATAGTTTACTTTAAGACAATGGACGATTTGCTTGCCATGCTCAAAAACCTGTCTAGAGTTGATTTGGCTTTGTGACGTGCATTATTGTAATCTGTCTATTAGGGTGCCCAAATAAATAGTTTAAAAAACCAATGATGATTTTTAATCTCGATTCTTGACATTTCTATTCATTCTGCCTGTGCAGAATGAGCGGGATTTGAAACGAGAGCGAAGGAAACAGTCTAATCGAGAATCTGCTAGAAGATCAAGGTTGAGGAAACAGGTACGAGTAGTGTCCGAGTTTTGCATGTTTAGCTAAGCTTAAAACATTCACTTCTAAGTAAATAAGTTAATTTTGAAATAAATATGAACTATTTATTGGGCAAAGCTGACAATAAGCTACTCAGGTAAGAATTACTTTCTAAGTAACTTTTTTGCTTAAAAGTAACATCTTGCTTTCTTTTACAAGTTTTTACATTTTTCTTTGGGCTTATTTTTTGCTAATCTGTAGCCAACTCTTCCGTGCCCAGGCTGAGGCTGGGGAGCTGGCTACGAAGGTTCAAATGCTAAGTAATGAGAATTTTACCCTCAAATCTGAGATAAATAAATTTCTGGAGAACTCGGATAAACTGAAGGTCGAGAATGCCACGTTAATGGTACGAGTGTTTCACTTCTATTAATCTCTTGTTTCTTTTTATATTTAATAGCTTCCGCATTTTAAAAACAACCTACAATTCCCAGGAGAAACTAAAATATGCACAACTAGGCCAAACAGAGATAAGTCTACACAAAATTGATGATCCAAGGCTGAAACCAACTGGCACGGCAAATCTGCTAGCAAGAGTTAATAACTCTGACAGAAAGAATGAGGGCGATACTTATGAGAATAAAAGCTCGGGAACAAAGCTTCGTCAGCTCCTGGACGCTAACCCGAGGACTGATGCTGTGGCTGCCAGCTGATTGAATCTGTACACTCAGTAATCCTTTCTCCTTGATTAGTTAATCATGTAATTTTGGCATAATTATAAGTCCAAAATTACGTCTAACTACAATATTTGATTGCAAAGAAAAAAACTCGTGAATCTAATTCTGCTGTCATGATCTGAACTTACCTCGACGAACCTGAAATGCATTTTTAAACTCAGCGAGTCGGGATGCTACAGATAGTTAATGTATGTGGGAGCGACTTAGGTAATTAGCGTGAGGATTGTCTAATCGTGTAAACTGCGTTCTATGTTACATCCTTGGCTACAGTACAGCGGGGTGTCTGTTGTACTATTTCGACCTTTTTAAGCGTGGAAGTAGTCTTAAGGTTAATTTCTTTCTAGTTTTTCTTGCCTGTTCTTTCCGTGCAGCATTTGAAATGTGCCTCAACTGAATGAATGTACATATTGGTACGATTTTCCTGGTTTTTGTAGGAATGGAGAGGGCGAGATGTTAAATGATACATAGATGATGGAATCATCAAAGATTTGACCTTTTTGAACTGTCTCCAACTTATTAGAGGCCTGGAAACAAAGGTTGTTTCGTGTTTAACTAATCTTGATTACATATTGGGAGATTTGATGACTTCCACTCTAGGGATTGTAGAATAAAACAACAAACCAAAATCGAAAAATGAAAATCACCAATGAAAGCAACAAACCAAACACCAAATCAGGAAATGGATTTGAAAACGAACACTGATGGCTTGAACACGATATCGCTCTCTTCAAACTTAATTTACTTCCTCTCGGATTGAAATAATGATTGTAGGGATTAAGGCAAATGGTTTGCAGGATTTAAACAAGCCTTGTAAAAAATTAACACTCAAGTATTAAGTGTAATTTTTTTTTTCAAAACTTAAAGAACACTAAAGAAGAATTTGAATATGATGAAGAAAATTGTGATTTATTGTTGTTTTTGGAATGATTTTTGTTCTTTAATATGGCTATGGTTTTTGTTTGTTTTCATCATCATTATAATGATCACAAACCACCTATATATAGCCAGAGACGTGATCATACGAAGTGGTGCCAAAAAATCCTCTAAAAGTCACCAAAAATTTGAACAAAACGATCACTAACGGCTCTTTTGGCTTTTTATGCGGTCGCATGGTTCAACACTATGCAACGGATGATCCTATAGATGACCTCATTTCTTTTGACCCTCGGATTTTCCTTCGTTTTCTATTGTTCCTCCACCCTCTGACATCCCGTCGACTTCGGCTTCAGCTTCGGCAGTGTCAGTTCCTCCTCCTTCTACTCGTATTGATCCTTCGATTGCTCTCATGGGACAGATGACCGTGCTGATCGAGTAGCAGGCTCAAATGATGGCCGAAATCACACAGATGCTAGCTACCGTTGATCGACATACTGTCGAGTTCACTACACTTCGGGGTGTTGTTGGCTATATTCAGCGTGTACTTCGATGGATTCGCCGTCATTGGGATGACAATGCTGATTCCGATGAGTGGACGGAATCGGATGATGCAGCTGGTGATTCCTAGTATCTAGGTTTACCCCTTGTCATTTTGTAACAAAAAAGGGGGAGTAGTTAGATATTTTTTGATGGAGTATATATTTTTTGCTTTTAAACTGGATGTATATGTTTTTTTTATCTACTTGATGTACCTAAAATCTTTTTAGCTTGATTATATAACGTATTCAGTTCTGCTAAATTAAGTTTGATGTTTTAGTAGTATCGATGTGTCTTCTTTGTATGTTGGGTTGCATTGGTACTATGTCTTAATTTAGCATGTATGATGAAAACTGAATAATACCATATGTTTCGTAGATTGCTTATATTCTATAAACTGTTTGAACTGCTTTACTTATACCGTTTTTCACATATTTCACATTGGGTGTTGAGTTGTTTATTTCAGGAAACAACTGTTGATTAAAATGCAGAATTTGTTCAAGTCAACTAGTTGTATCATAGGTTTTTGCGTCTGTATTTCATATTTGATTACTGTCTCAACTTTAGTTAGTAGTTTTGTCACAAAACGCCAAATGGGGAGCTTGTTATGTTTTTAATTATGTAATTAACAATTCTGTGAACAAAGGGGATTTAATTGTAAATATTGTAAAAAAAGTCAAGTAGTAATGTGCAATTATTTGAAAATAGGTTTATTAGGTCTAGGGTTTGAGTATGACAAAAGAAGGAAAATACGGCGCAGATTTTTGCTAGACTGTCGCTATAGATTGATTCGAGCGCCAAAAGCAGAACCTTCAACGCTCGACTGTC